CTTACTGGTCCTTGAACCAAAAGGCCCCCAGCCGGGCTCCGTGGAAAGAGCTGTGGCGTCAGGCCCGTCCGTGTCACTCCGTCGCCCCTTCATCGAGTCAGCGAGGCCCCTTCCCAGTGCGAACACTGGCAGCAAAAACAAGTCAGGCCTGGTCCCCGCCGTGGGGCTGCTTATAGGAAGGCGGACATGTCAGCAAGCCCGTGTAATAACACGACCAGGTGCCGAGGGCTAGGCAAGGACAGCCACAGAGGCTGCCCGTTTGGCTCGTAGTCAGAGCGCGGACCTGCGGACCGAAGGGTCTCGGGTTCAGTTGGGGAGGCAACCAGCCGGTGTCTCTCTCACATCCTCTCTCTCTGCCCCCCCCCCCCCGTGTCTCTCTCACATCTATGTCTCTCTCTCTCTCTCTCTGCCTCCCTCTCTCTCCCCCCCTCCCTTCCACGCTCTCTAAAAATCAATGGGGGGGGGGGGCGGGGGGATATCCTTGGATGAGAATTAACAACAACAAAAAAGTGCATGGCCAGTTTTTCCAAGAAAAGGGAGGTACTGGTTAGAACAACCTTCTGAGGATAACTGTTCCCCAGGTAGATTGTAGGAGAGGAGATGGAAGGCTTTTCCTAGCTCACTGGTAATCGTGGATACATCCGTAATCTCCGCGCCCTGTGTTGCCCATTGTGAAGTAGTGTCCTCCTGTGTGTGTGCGCGTGCATGTGTGTGCACGTGTGTGCGTGAAGTGCTAAACATAGATCATAGCATAAGAGGTACTCAATACATGTTTTCTCTTCTTGACCCCCCTGTGGGGGCCATGTCCTGGCCCCTCTGCCTTCTGCTTCCTTCCCTGCAGACCTATGCCAGATTTACTGGGGCCCCGCTCAAGGTGCACAAGATCAGCAACCCCTGGCGGAGCCCTTCAGGTACCCAGTGTCCCCGGGCGGGGGGAGAAGCAGAAGTCAGACAGGAATGTGGTCCAAGTACGAATGGACAGACAGCTAAGGGTCTGGCGGGCGTCCTTCTTTCTCAATGTCAGGAACGCTGCCCGCCCTCCGGACCAGTCACGGAGAGGTCATCTCAGTACCACACAAGATCATCACCCACCTTCGAAAAGAGGTAGGTGGCTTGGCCAGGGGAACTGCTAGTGAGAAAAGTTCAGTCCGTGCAGTGTAACACACATTTACCGAGCCCCAGGTATATGCCAGGCTCGAGGCAGGGGACCCAGAGCTTCAAGGCGCACGGTGTGATGGGGTCGGGGGTGGGGGACACACAGTGTTGGTGTGATGCAGTAAGTAGTAGGCCGGAGGGTACGCTGGGGCACTCTGGGGGCATCTGGAGGCACAGAGCCTTCTGCCTGCTGGGCAGAGAGAGAGATGAACAGGCTGATGACACAAGGAAGGGAAAGGAGACTAGAAGAGAGCAGTTGGCTCAGGTGAGACCCTCGAAAGTGCGACCAGAGAGGGACTTCTAAGGGCCATCGCCCGTTTTTCAGGGAGCAGGTCAGCGGGATATGGGACTCGGGATGGACAAGGGTTAGAGCCAGGGTGGGAAGTTGGAAGAGTATTAACGAAGAATGGGGAGGCCTAAGCTATGCCCCCACTCTCTCCTTGACCAAGTGACCTGTGGCAAGTCGCTTAATGTCTCAGGGCCCTAAGCTCCTTATTTGTTTTTTTTTATCTTTATTGTTGAAAGGATTACATTTGTCCCCTTCCCCCCCCCCCCATTCACCCCTTATAGCCTGCCCTGCCCCAGGCCTCCTCCACCCTATCGTCTGTGTCCATGGGTTATGCATATATACATACATGTTCTTTGGTTAATCTCTTCCCACCCACCCCTGCCTTCCCTCTGAAGCTCCTTATTTGTAAAACCAGGGGCTGAGCCAGGATGCTTTCCAAGGGTTCTTTTAATTTTCATGGTCTGATTCAAAAAGGGAATACACGCCCTAGCCAGTTTGGCTCAGTGGATAGAGCATCGGCCTACAGACTGAAAGGTCCCAGGTTCGATTCCAGTTGCAGGCTTGATCCCCAGTGGTGGGCATGCAGGAGGCAGCCAATCAGTGATTCTCTCATCATTGATGTTTCTCTCTCTCTCTCTCTTTCTCCCTTCCTCTCTGAACTCAAGAAAAATATATTTTAAAAAGGGGGGGAGGGGATTCACTGTCAGAAGTGGGACCCTCTTCATTTCTACTTTCCCAGATTTTAAGGAGCTGGGGAATTAATGGAGGCTTGAGAGGCATGTAGAGAGGGGATCCAGATAAAAGCCAAAATTCCTGGCAGGGACTGGGCCACAGCCATGTTTGCTTATGTGTGAGCACACCTTTCCAGTTTTCAGAGTTTTTTCATAACAGCCACATTGAGAGAAAGAGATCAGTACCCCCATTCCACGGGGAAGAAGTGAGGCTCAGAGAGATGTAAGGATCATGCTCAAAGGGTTATTCGGGGACAGAGTTTACTCAAAATGTGGAGGGGGTTGCTAAGCAACAGACACTGGAGCCTAGGAAGATGAGCAGCCGGAGACCTGGGGGTACGGTTGGAATGTGTGGTGGTGGTGGCGCCTGGGCCGTGGAATGAAACAGAGGAAATAGCCAAGAGCTGGGCATTGAGAGAAGCAGCCAGAGGCCCTGGGCCCATGGGTCCAGCAGCGTGAGGATGGCGTTCCCGGTTCCTGAGGCGTGGACGGAGGCCCAGCCTGCCTCTGAGCTCACTCTGTTAGCGCTGCGGTGCCCGGACTGGAGCAGTTACTGTTCGAAAGCTGCTGTCAGCAGGCACGTTGCCACCTTTCCGTGGAAACTCTGGGAGCTGCTCCTGGTTTGCGGCTGGGCCTTCTCTCCTTCCCCAATGGGCTCGAGATCTTGACGGCCAGCAGGCTCCAAGGCCTAGGCCGTCCGCCAACAGTAACAGGCTACTGGCTCTGCCCAGGCCATGGGGCCTCAGCAGGAAAAACTCCTGACTCTGCCTCTGCTACGCTCAGAGGCAGCGAGGGTGGCACCAGACAGGATGCTCCTGAGGAGGGCCCTGCAGTCCCCGCATCAGCTCACGGTAGGCATTTCCTCCACAGAAGTTCAATGCTGATTATGATCTGTCTGCCCGGCAAGGGGCAGACACCTTAGCCTTTGTGTCTCTGCTGGAGGAGAAGCTGCTCCCAGTGCTGGTGAGTGTGCCCAGACCTCCCAGGGTTTATGGCCAGCGGGGGAGGGGCCAGGGACACACACCCCGACCCCTACCCCCACCCCTCCAGCCCTGGAGCAGCATGGGGATCAGAAGCCCACCCCGACTCAGGCAGGTACACAGGCTCCGGCCTTCCTCTCCCTTCCCATGTACCCGTCCAGATCCATACTTTTTGGATAGACGCCAAGAACTATGTGGAAGTGACTCGGAAGTGGTACGCGGAGGCTATGCCCTTTCCCCTCAACTTCTTCCTGCCTGGCCGCATGCAGCGGCAGCACATGGAGCGGCTGCAGCTGCTGTGTGGGGAGCACAGGCCTGAGCATGAGGAAGAACTGGAGAAGGAGGTACCTCTGGGATAGGGTGCTGCTGTAGGAGAGAAGCCCCAAGGCCAAGGGCCAGGCGTGGGACTGCCTAGGAGGGGGGTGGCACAGTGCCCGCAGCCTCAGGCCTCCCTGTGTCCTCCCTGTAGCTGTACCAAGATGCTCGGGAATGCCTGACCCTCCTCTCTCAGCGCCTGGGCTCTCAGAAATTCTTCTTTGGAGATGCGTGAGTCTGGCTCCAGGGGAGTAAGAGGTGGCTTGGAAGAAGATGCGGGTTTTGATGTAGCTGCAGGCGCTTGGGTGGGCTCAGCGCGGGGCGAGAGGTCCTCGGGACAGACACTGGGTCTGCTGACAGCGGGGCTTGGAGTTGCCTCAGTGGCCCGGGAGGGTGGGAGGGCCGCCAGGCACAGGAGTCTGCAGTGCTGTGGGCACTCAATGTGCCCTTTATGCAGCCCTGGGCTAGCGTCCCATTCAGGGCCAGGCTGGCGCCACCTAGGGGCCCTCCCCACACCAGACCCAGAAAGGTGTGCCCTCGCCTACCCTAGTGGTCCCTGCCGTCCAGAGCCACCTCCCAGGGCCAAGTCTTCCTCTGACTCCATCTCTACCCCCTCGGCCAAAGTCGTCCTCCCCCATCACACCCCTCTCTCTCTGCCTCAGCCCCGCCTCCCTGGACGCCTTTGTCTTTAGCTACCTGGCCCTGCTGCTGCAGGTAAAGCTGCCCAGTGGGAAACTGCAGGCCCACCTTCGGGGACTGCATAACCTCTGTGCCTACTGCACCCACATCCTCAGCCTCTACTTCCCCTGGGATGGAGGTAAGGGGCAGATGGATGCGGGGTGGTTGCTGGCCCTGGGGAGAGTGGGCAGGGATCCAGGAACTAGCCTCCCTGCCCACCTTCCTTCCTTATCCCTCAGCTGAGGTGCCACCTCCACGCCAGACACCAGTGAGCCCAGAGACTGAGGAGGAGCCGTACCGGCGCCGGACCCAGGTCCTGTCCGTGTTGGCGGGGCTGGCGGCCATGGTGGGCTACGCCTTGCTCAGTGGCATTGTCTCTGTCCAGCGGGCAACACCGGCCCGGACCCCAGGCACCGGGGCCCTGGGCATGGCTGAGGGAGACGAGGAGGAGTGATTTGTCCTCATGCTCCCAGGACTGATTTTTCTACTCTCATGCATTCCAGAGGTCCCTGTGTCTCCCTGTTGTCGATACAGCCAGAAATGGGGTGTCCCCTGAAAATAAACCTGCTCACACTCACTGGGATCAGACCTTCTGTCCTTTAAGGGGCCGTCTGGGTCCTTGCCTTCACGGGTGCGTGGCTGCTCAGCTGCTTGGCCCTGATGACCTTGCTCCTGCAAGGACCCAGTTCTCATCTCCAGGAAAGACAGACAGTCCTCAGTTCTGCGTCCAGCCTTCCCAGTCTCTTCCTTTTCTTGCCCTCCCTCCCCCCATCTTGTGTTTGTACAGACAGTGAGCTCACCCTGGGCCTGGGCCCAGTTTCCACAGGAACCAGCACAGAGAACACACTCACACAAGCTTGTGGGGGGAGCACTGGGGCTTCCCAATCCTTTCCTGAGGGGCCTCCAGCCCCTGGCACCAGCTGGAGGGGAGAGTGAGTTACCCAAACCACTGCTCCTGGGCTGACATCACTTAAACTCGCCCAGGCCCTGCTGTCCCCTGTTAGCCACAGACAGCATGTGAGCTGACTCGGTCCCTTTAATGCCCATGTTGAGCCCAGGCCTCTGCTTGGGTATCTGCTCCATCACTGGCGACGCCACAAATAGGTGTGAATGGAGTAGGCAGGTGAGACCGTCTCCAGGAAGCCCAGAGCAGGATCCTTGATGGTGAGAGGCACATCCTTAGAGGAGCTGGGGAGGGAGCAGGAGAGCTGAGTGTCTGATCCTGCCAAACCCACCGCCTGCCCTCAGCCCAGCCCTGGGCCCTGCTGCTGCTCTCACCGGTTTAGCACCACCACAACTGCAGAGCCGTCGGGACGCATCAGTGCCACTGTTTCCAAGTCGTTCTTCTCACTAGCGACCAGCCCCACTCTCTGGGAGCCTTCAGGAATGAACTTGCTGAAGAGGGAACAAGCAGCGTCAGGGACCCCAGCCCAGCTCCTCTGACCTGAGGGTAGCTCCCAGCCACTCGTAACCCAAGAATTCATCCCCCACATCCCTTGCTAAGGCTCTGCCCCAGTTCTCCAGGTCTTGAGCCATGCTGCTGGCATGCCCTCCTTCCTGCCTCCCAGCTCTAGCATCAGCAGCTGGGTTGCCTGTGTCTGATGCTGTCCAATCACTTCCTGCCCAGATGGTGCAAGAGGGACAGGTGTGCCTCTCCCAAGGGTCCCACCCTAAGCACCTTCCTGCTCCTCATGTGGGGTGAGGTAAGCCCAGCACAGGAAATACTAGGCCTGGTGCAGAGCGGGGTGCCTGCCCACCACTCACCTGAAGTGGCCAAGGTGGTAGAACATGGGCTGTTTGTAAAACGTGTCCTTGGCGATGTCCACGATGATGGGACTGTCAACAAAGTTGCGCACCCAATTGGGTCCCCCTTCAGGGTTCAGGGCGAGGTTCCAGTCAGTCCAGCCAACCACATGGTAGAGGAGGTTCTAGGGCAGGAACAGGGCGGAGACAAAGGCTTGACACTGGGTCCCCAGAGAATGTGGTTAAGGAGGGGGTGGGCTCTGGTGCCTCAGCCCTGTGTCAGGCCTCTGTCCTGACATCTAAGGAGAGACTGAGGATGAAGATAACACAAGAGAAGCTGAGAAATCAGGCAGCTCTAACGCTCAAGACCCAAGCATTTGGAGGAAGGGTGATGGGATGTGCAGATCTGAAGGGAATCACGGTATCCCACCACATGCCCCCAGGAGCGAGCCGGCTGGGGAGAAGGTGGAGCGGAGGGCTGGTTGTCAGTCCTTGGTAAGACTGGGAAGGGCCGGGGGCTGCTTTGTGAGAAGGGAGGCCGGTGGCTCACCGTGATGATGCTGTGGCTGTACTGCATCCCTCGGTCCCAGGAGCCCAGCCGCACACTCTGCTCCCAGAACTTGGAGCCCACACAGGCCTCTGAAGCAAAGAGCATGGTGTTGGGGAACAGGCGGTGTGTCTCCCCCAGGGTGGCTTTTGCTGGAGCCAGAAAGTCCAGGTACCAATGTACAGCGATGCCGTGAACATACTTAGCTGCCTCTGGGTCCGCCAGCACCTGTACAGGGAAGGGGAGGAATACTGGGGAAAGGGAGCCACTGAACCTGGCCCTGCCCGTTCGGAGGGTTCTGGGAGACACCAGGGGACCAGAGAATGGGCAGTGGGATAAACACAACTAGAGGGGGCTGCAGTAACACCATGGGGTCCTGGGGATCCACAAGGGGGCACTATCACCCCAGCACTCCAGGAGTATGTACACCACCCGGGCACCTAGCTCCAGCCCAGGGTGCTCTAAGAATCAAGAGTCGGGGCAGGCCCAGCCCCCGCCCTCCCACCCCCAGGACAAAACAGAGAGAACAGGTGCCAGCATGGCTCAGTGGTTGAGCGTCAACCTATGAACCAGGAGGTCACGGTTCTATTCCATGGTCAGGGCACATGCCTGGGTTGCAGGCTCGATCCCCAGTGTGGGGCGTGCAGGAGGCGGCCAATCAATGATTCTCTCTCACCATTGATGTTTCTATCTCTCTTCCTCTCTGGAATCAGTAAAAGTATCTTAAAAAAAAAAAAAAAAGTTGGGGCAGAGAAGGCACTCCATTTGAGAGCCAGTCATTTGGATCCTGGATTTGAGGGTCACTGGGGTACCCATGGAGGCCCTGGGCCTTACCACCTCGGCCCAGTGGGGCAAGAGCAAGCGCTGGTCGTCCAGCATGAGCAGACGGACGCCTCGGTGAGTACTGTTGGCCAGGGTGGGACCCAGGTCGCGGGCAATGAAGTCTCGCTGGTGCTCAGGGGTGAACCCCAGGCACTGGAAGGGGTACCCGCTGAAGAGCCCCGCAGAAGGCTCATTTTCCGCCGTCACTGCCCAGAACTGCAGCTTGTGCTCCGCATAGGCGTCCAGGAACCTGGCAGAGGAAGGGTGTGTGTGACTCTGACCAAGAAAGGGGACCAAGAACCAGAGGACTAGGAGGCTGATGAGGTGGGGAAAATGGGGGGCCCAAGTCAGAAAGGCCCAGAAGAAAGGCCGGTGAGGTGAAGGGAGTCATAGGTAGAAGTGAAACCAGGTGGGGACACAGACCAGGCTGGTGCAGGGCCCATGGCCTTGCTGCTCCCTTACTTGACAAAGTATCTGGCCCAAGTCTGGTGGTAGAGGTCCCCCGGCTGACCCTTGAGTGACCCCCTCCCATTCACTGCCCCATTGGTCTTGAGCCAAGTGGGTGATGTCCAAGGACTGGCGAAGAGGGAGACAGGGCGCTGGGACATCTCTAGGGCTTGGTGGATCAGGGGTATCTAGAAACAAAGGTAGTGCAGAGAGAAACAACCAGAGTTAGAACAGACTGGCTCAACCAGTGCATCAGGCCTGGCCATCAGCCCCCGCCCTCCCACCCCAGGACAAAACTGAGAGACTCGGGGCCAGGTTCTGTCTCTCTAAACTTCTCTAGCCTGAAGCTTTTCCAAGCCCGGGCATCAGTGTTACCAGGGCCTGAGGAAGCCAGAGTGCCCACCTTGAGCTTGACATCTTCCTCTGGGAGGCTGAAGTTGTGCAACTGGAAGTCGTCAGGGGTGTCGGCATAGGTGTAGATGCGGATGGAGAAGTCACAACTGGCCATGGGTACCCGAATGATGTTGTATTCAATTCCTGCAGTAAAAGACCAAGATCTGGGAGTCAGTCAACAGGAGAATGTAGGGCCTGGCCTATCACTTGTCAGCCCTAAATTCGATGCGGCTCCTGGGTTAGGGCCTGTGGAGCCAGGCACCTGGGTGAAACACAGGGCTGAGCCTGAGAATCCCCAAGCACTCGGTGGAAGACGGGTAGGACAATCTTATTTGGGCATTAAGAGAAGACCCAGCTGAAACCGGTTTGGCTCAGTGGATGGAGCATCAGCCTGTGAACTGGGGGGTCCCGGGTTCAATTCTGGTCAGGGGCGTGTGCCTGGGTTGCGGGCACATCCACAGTGGGAGATGTGCAGGAGGCGGCTGATCGATGTTTCTCTCTCATCGATGTTTCTGACTATCTCTCTCCCTTCCTCTCTGTAAAAAAATCAATAAAATATATTTTAAAAAAAAAAGAAGACCCAAATGTCAGGGATGGATGGGAGTCAGGGTCAAAGGAAATGTCAAGGTCAGTTGCACTGTCATCTTGTCCCCCTCCTCCTCACCTTCTTCAGAGAAATATGATTTGAGTAGCAGATTCCGGGCAGGGGGTGACAGGGCAAGGATATTGAGAGCAGCAGCATCTGTCATGGCCCCTCCAAATCCCTTTATTTTCTGGAACTTCTGCTCCGGCTGCAGGGTCAGCAACAGCCCTGAGAACACATGCAGGGAATCCAGGGTGTCAGCGCCCCGGGGGGAACCCCAGGAGGACCCCGGCCTGGCTCGGGGGTGAAGGGTGTAGTGGTTACCTGTGCCTGTCTGGTTGGCCTGGATGGTCCCCAGACTCGGCTCCATTCGGCGCCCGCTGCGTGTGCTCTCATAGCGTGTGAAGGTGCCAGGGGCAGGCAGGGTCAGGGGATCAAGGGAGTCGCAGTAGGTGGCATTACAGACACAGACCACCGAGCTGTAGCCAAAGTTTTTAGGGTTGCAGGGGCGGGCACCTGGGAGGGAGAGAGAGGCAAGGGCTGAAGGATGAAGCTGGGAGAAGCCACACTGTTCAGGAGAGACTGAACACCGGTTCCTAACATCCTCTCACACCCTGGCCGGCATGGTTCAACAGTTAGAGCATCGGCCCCTGCACGGAAGGGTCTCAGGTTCGACTCCTGGTCAAGGGCACGTACCTGGGTTATGGGTTCAATCCCTCACCCAAGTTGGGATGCGAGAGGAAGGCAACCAATCGATGTGTCTCACATCACTGTTTCTCTTTCTCCCTCCCTCTCTTTCCCTTCCACTTAAAAAAAAAAAAATCAATGGGAAAATTATCCTTGAGTGAGGATTAAAATCCTCTTGCTGTACCTCCACCCAAAAGTATTTGTTGAGCATCTACTGATGTCCACCACCAGTTTGCCAGAAAATTACCAGAGAAGAGAAGTGTTGGGGCTACCTCCCTCCTCCTTAATTTACTCACCTGACGCCCAAGAAACTGCCTGAAGTAGAAGCAATCCCGTGAGTCTGGCAGCCATGATGCCTACCCTGCCCAGGGCCTTGGGACATTCCTGAGAACAGAATGAGGAGTGGCTGGAAGGCAAGCCCCTCTCCACCCCTCAACTTCTCTCCTGGGCAGCGCTCAGCCACCCCTGGGCACGCTCAGGCTAGTCTCCCACCTTTAAGAGGGATGGAATAGGCCCTCTGCTCGAGCCAGCCCTCCCTCCAAGCCCTCTGTTAGTGACAGGCCCTCCCCGACCAGGACCCTCCTCCTCCCCGACCGGGACCCTCCTCCTCCCCTCTTGCCACCCATTTCTCCCTCGACCTGTCCCTCCTTAGAAATGCCATGATGGCCTGAGTTCGAGGAGAGTCTGTCATTCATTGAATTCCTGAACCTGATGGCCAGGATTCCAGACGCAGACGAGATCAATGGGGAGCCCTGGCCCACTCACCTCTCTGGAAGGACTTGCAGGCTCCATCCCCAGGTGGGAAGACGGCAGCGTTCGCAGCCTCGGAGAGGACAGAAAGTCCCCTAAATCGAAGCGGAGCTGCAGGTACTTGGGTAGTTACAGACCCGGGATTAGCCTTGGGCATTAATTCCGGCATCACGGAGTAAATGGGTCATGTGATGACTACGGGAGAGTCACATGACACCGGAAGTGAGGCAACTTCACCCATACTTGTAAAGGGCGACAGGTCTCCTCCAGGTTGTTGGTGATTCTGCACCGTGTCACATCCTAGAAGGCATGTGTGGATGACAGCTTAGGGAAGAATCTAAATCAAAGGTCTGAGAGGATTGGGTAGAGGCTCCAGATCCCAGAGGATGGGAACCATAGTAAGCACATTGCTTTCTTGAGAAAAAATGTTCAAGTAATACTAATGAAGTTGATGCTAATAAAAGGGGGTCACTGCGCTAGATAGTGTAGCCAGAATACTGAGAGATGGGGAAGGCCGCCTTTGTGCTATAGAGGCTTGTGAAGCAGGGAGTCAGACACTTACGCAGACAGTCACACGTGAAGACAAACCAGTAACAAGGGACACTCCACGGTAAGGAGTTACCCCGAAGGCTTCCCGGAGGAGAGAGGGCGGGGATCATTAACCAGAGAAGCAGGGAGGGAGGGCCTGGGCAGAGGAAGGGCATGATCGAAGGGAGGCCTCCCTGGTTTCATCAGCAGGTGCGGGTTGTGTGAGCGGCTTTTCCTTTCTCACAGGACAGGGAGGTGGTGGAACGTAGTTCAGAAACTGGAAAGTGCTGTACAAGCCATAGCAGGGGTCCTCAAACTTTTTAAACGGGGGGCCAGTTCACTGTCCCTCAGACCGTTGGAGGGCCGGACTATAGTTTAAAAAAAAAAAACTATGAACAAATTCCTATGCACACTGCACATATCTTATTGTGAAGTAAAAAAACAAAACGGGAACAAAGACAATATTTGTATTTGCCTGTGGCCCGCGGGCCGTAGTTTGAGGACCCCTGAGCCATAGCCTTAGTGGACATGAGAAGGGGGTTGTCCGAGATGCTTCAACCACATCACACCTGGACCACATCCCAAGTGACTTAGTGGGAGTGACACACACCATTAGGACCTGACCAACCCCAGCCTCGGAGCCTCTTTCCTAACTAAAACGGAGGCCGCCCACCATCTTTCAGGGCTATTCCTGGAGTCAGTGAAAGAAGCATGTGCCTGGCGCACAGGAGATGCTCACTAACCGCTGGTTTGCTGTGTCTTTTTTTTTTATATATATATATTTTATTGATTTTTTACAGAGAGGAAGGGAGAGGGATAGAGAGTCAGAAACATCGATGAGAGAGAAACACTGATCAGCTGCCTCCTGCACACCTCCTACCGGGGATGTGCCCGCAATCAAGGTACATGCCCTTGACCGGAATCGAACCTGGGACCCTTCAGTCCGCAGGCCGATGCTCTATCCACTGAGCCAAACCGGTTAGGGCATGCTGTGTCTTTTTAAAATGATCTCAGTGAAGTCTTTCCAGACGCGCCAGGCCGAACGGATCTTTTCTTGTTCTGGTTCCTATAGCGTCAGTAGAGTTTCAGTGAGACCAGCTGGGTTTGAAACTTGGCTCCACCATTTACTCGCTGTTTGACCTTGAATACATGACGTAAGCCTCTGTTTCTCATCTATAAAAGGGGAGTGACAGCTCCTGCCTCACAAAATTGTTGTGAGGTTTCAGTACATAATGCATGTGTACAGTAGGCTGCTGGGCACCAAATACTGTAATAAGTTAAGTCCTCAGAGGGGTCAGTAAAGGAATGTCTTACTCATTCCTTTACTGACACAGAATGGGTACATGCCAAGTTGTTGAACCAAAATGAGCCATCATCATGTCAATATTTGCCCCATCTAGACTTCCTGTTTTTCCAGGAAATGTTGTGTAGGGCTCATTCTTGGGAAGAAGACAGGTGATACCTGCACCTTACTTCCCTCTAGTTCATTCATTCCACAAATATTTGTCACACATACTATATCTGCCCCTTTCTGCTCTGTTGGATTTAGCCTCCACCTCCCTGTTTCACTCTGTAGTAACAGTGTTTATGAGGCTTTTATTTCTTCTTTTTATACTTCAGTTTAAAAATCTTCCAGAGTTGATACCACCTCGTTTTTTTCTTAATTTTATTCATTGATGTTGAGAGAGAGAGAGAGAGAGAGAGAGAGAGAGAGAGAGAGAGAGAAATGTGGGAGCAATGAGAGACACAGACACAACACGTTGGTTGGTTGCCTCTCAAACGTGCCCCAGTCGGGGCCAGGATTTGAACCTGCAACCTAGGTCCCTGCCCTTGACTGGAAATCAAACCTGGGACCCTTCAGGTGCAAAGGCTGATGCACTAAGCCCTGAGCCACACTGGCCAGGGCTTCCCTTGGACTTTTATATTTTATTTTCTAAATAAAATTGGTTATAATAAGGGCTAATGCTTACTGAGTACTTATTCTATGGTACTTAGTGTGCATTAGACCTTTACCTCACTCACTTCATTCTCGCAAGACAGATATTATTATTTTTCCCATTTTAAAGATGAGAAACCAAAAACTCTAAAAGTTCATTAAATTACCCAAAGTCCCTTGGCTACTCAGTGACAGAAACTGGATTCATATCCAGAGTCCCATGACACACAGCACACATTTCAAGAGCACCTCTGGTATGCCAAACGCGATGGTAGGTGCTGGTCATTTTCCAAAGCTGCAGTGTTGGTCTGCAGTGTTTGCTTTGTATTGTTTTAAAATCGTCCCTTTTTTTAAAAATAAATTTTATTGATTTTTTACAGAGAGGAAGGGAGAGGGATAGAGAGTTAGAAACATCGATGAGAGAGAAACATCAATCAGCTGCTTCCTGCAAACCCCCTACTGGGGATGTGCCTGCAACCAAGGTACATGCCCTTGACCGGAATCGAACCTGGGACCTTTCAGTCTGCAGGCTGACGCTCTATCCACTGAGCCAAACCGATTAGGGCATCCCTTATTTTTTTTAAATATATTTTTATTGATTTCAAAATACATTTTTATTGATTTCAGAGAGGAAGGGAGAAGGGGAGATAAAAACACCGATGAGAGAGAATCATTGATCGGCCGCCTCCTGCACGCCCCCCACTGGGGATCGAACCTGCAATCTGGGCATGTGCCCTTGAACAGAATCGAACCCAGGACCCTTCAGGTCGCAGGCCAATGCTCTATCCACTGAGCCAAACCAGCTAGGGCCGTCCCTTATTTTTACAGAGGGTCCTACCTGTCCAAGATGAAGACCAAATTGGCTTCTGAAGTGCTGGCTCCGTGTTCTCCAAAGGCATCAGTCAAGGGATGCCACTTCAATAACGGAACAGAATCCAGAACTCCAGAACTCCCAAGCTGGTCGAGAGTGGTCGATTTCAGCTGGGAGGGGCGACTCTGCCTGTCTCTGAGCTCCACGCTCCCCATCCTGGAGATCTCAGCCCAACAGTCCAAGCACCCCCTTTACATAAGTATTTTCTAATATACTCTTTTCTATCCTGAAATAAAGATATAAATAATATGACTTAACCTACACACATAATTTAAAAGAATCAATATAATTGCCTTAATTGGAATATAAAGGAAAAATATTGGGACTATTTTTTAAAAATATTTTTTTCTTGCCGAAACCGGTTTGGCTCAGTGGATAGAGCGTCAGCCTGCGGACTGAGAGGTCCCGGGTTCGATTCCGGTCAAGGGCATGTACCTGGGTTGCGGGCATATCCCCAGTAGGAGATGTGCAGGAGGCAGCTGATCGATGTTTCTCTCTCATCGATGTTTCTAACTCTCTATCTCTCTCTCTTCCTCTCTGTAAAAAATCAATAAAATATATTTTAAAAAAAAAATATTTTTTTCTGGGGGAGAACCAAGATGGCGGCATAGGTTAACGCTGGAGTTTGCTGCTTTGAACAACTACTTCAAAAGTGAAACCAAAAAACGGAAGGGACATCACCCAGAACCACAGGAACGCTGCCTGAGTGGAAGTCCTACAACTAGGAGGAAAGAGAAACGCATACGGACACTCAGAGGAGGCGCAGTGCTGAAGTCAAATTCTGAGGTGTGGAGTGCGCGGAGCGGGCTGGCGGCGGAGGGCGCGGTTGGCGTTTTCAATCGGGAGGGAGTCGCAGTCTCTGAGCTCCAGATCCGGGCGAGTCTTTAGGGACCCAGACTCAAACGGGAGAAGCGGGACTGTCTGGCTTCGGTCAGAGCGAGTGCAGCTTTCTCTCTGAGCTTTGCAGCGGGTGCTGGGACTCAGAGAGGCAGAGCCCCTGGGGACAGGACTGAGAGCCGCCATAACTGCTCTCTCCGGCCCACCCTGTTGATCCTGTGCGACCCGCCCCGCCCAAGCCCTGCACACAGGCATTTGCCGGATAGCCTCAGGCAAAGGCTAGATTAGCACCTCCCTAGAGGACAGAAGTTCTCTCACTGCTGACACAGCTGATTCTCATAGCCACTTGGCCTGGAGGTCAAACCCTCCCTGGAATTAGCTACAACAATCAAGATTTAACTATAAGACTGCGCACAAAGACCACTAGGGGGTGCACCAAGGAAGCATAACAAAATGCGGAGACAAAGAAACAGGACAAAATTGTCAATGGAAGATATAGAGTTCAGAACCACACTTTTAAGGTCTCTCAAGAACTGTTTAGAAGCCGTCGATAAACTTAATGAGATCTACAAGAAAACTAATAAGACCCTCGATCTTATATTGGGGAACCAACTAGAAATTAAGCATACACGGACTGAAATAACGAATATTATACAGACTCCCGACAGCAGACCAGAGGAGCGCAAGAATCAAGTCAATGATTTGAAATGCGAGGAAGCAAAAAACACCCAACCGGAAAAGCAAAATGAAAAAAGAATCCAAAAATGCGAGGATAGTGTAAGGAGCCTCTGGGACAGCTTCAAGCGTACCAACATCAGAATTATAGGGGTGCCAGAAGATGAGAGAGAGCAAGATATTGAAAACCTATTTGAAGAAATAATGACAGAAAACTTCCCCCACCTGGTGAAAGAAATGGACTTACAGGTCCAAGAAGCGCGGAGAACCCCAAACAAAAGGAATCCAAAGAGGACCACACCAAGACACATCATAATTAAAATGCCAAGAGCAAAAGATAAAGAGAGAATCTTAAAAACAGCAAGAGAAAGAAACTCAGTTACCTACAAGGGAATACCCATACGACTGTCAGCTGATTTCTCAACAGAAACTTTGCAGGCCAGAAGGGAGTGG